AAAAGAGTAGGAGGGTTCTGGCAGTTCTGTATCTATAAGCCAGCTGTCTGTGCACGTGTGACACGGTGAACACATAAAGCCCTTACATCACGCAGATCGGAACTCTACTGTTATTAGATCAGGTATCGCCTGCTGCACCACTGCCACAGTAACACTGCTGCCATGGCAACTGGCTGTGTTTGAAGTGGGAGTGATGTCAGAACGTTGTGATTGATCAACCAGGGAGGCTGATTGTGGGATTGACTAAGAGTCCCATTTGTATTCATTTGTTTAGGATGTGGAGTTTCGTTCCTTTTCTCTTTTGTTCTTCCACAGATTCTTGTATTATTTTTCCACTGACTTAAGCACATTGACTCATTTCAGTCCCTACAACCTGGGTTCACGATAATGTCACAGTTCAGTTTTCAAACCACAAAGCAAAACATTGCCTTTTTGTGCTTGGCTGTTAAATGGTTCTCAGCTCTACTGAGTATTGAGAAATTAATTTATTTAAATTTATAAATTAATTTATTTAAAATTATTTTGATAATTTAATTTTACTTAGTTGATTTTTATTTTAATGAATTTATTAATTAAAAAATATGCTTTAGGGATGCACCGATACTGGTATCGGGCCCGATACTGAGCTCCTGTACTCGTTAAAATGCCCCGATACCAAACGCCAAGACCACACAGCATGTGATAAGTGCCATATTCAGACAAAGAAGCACCAACAGCAGACAGCAGAATGGAGTTATTAGAGATTAAGGATGTCTACGAAGTATATGTATGCAATGAATATAATGTTAAACATTCAGTATTAACGCCGGTGTAGCTGATGTGCGTGAGCTGATAAGCAAAGCACGCTGAGTGGATTGAGTGCGCGAGCTTGTCGAGTGAATATACCTTTCTCACAGACATCACTGGAAAGCTTGTAGTTCGGTCGGATATGTCAAAAACATGTAAGTAAAATAATGCACAAGTTACTTAACGGTAGGGAGAGAGAGAAAGAGAGAGAGAGAGAGCGCGCACTTCTGTTGTGTGATCTTTGATGTTCACTCACTTAGCACACACATCATTTGGATTAAAACTAAATTGTAAAAATAAGACCATTTATAGGGGCATTCACTATAAACATAATTTATTTTCAACCTTAGGCAGAAACGACTGTGAATCTAGCAGCCTGTTTGAAATGCGCTAGACTGTCATTTATAGGGGCATTCACTATAAACATAATTTATTTTCAACCTTAGGCAGACACGACTGTGAATCTAGCAGCCTGTGTGAAATGTGCTAGGCTGGACTTGTCCCTCTCATTTTGCACCAGTACAAATACGTGCACGCGTTGCGCGTTTTGCTTGCTTGAGTGTTTCTGCATTATATGAGTGGCTTTGGAATATAAATCACACGTTTCAGATGAAAAAAACGCAACTTCTATTTCTGAAAATATCACAGTTAGGAGATTTATAATGAGTGGTTCCCTGCATTATTACAGCAAAGCGCGTGATTACAGTACTAAGAGCAGCAATGGAACAGCTCTAATGCTATTAAATTAAAGATGATGTACCATAGACCAGATATAATTTGTGATTTATTTTTTTTTTTTTTACTAGTGGGGTGCAGGACACTATTGTTCATTTATATAAGTGAGATAGCAAAATAAAGTAAACTGACAAATTATACCCAAAAATGATTCATACAGTGGACTACCAGTTAAACTGATACAAATTTGGGACCAAAAATTATTCAGACCGAGTCTGGTAAAAAAAATTGAAGTTCAGGTTTGCATGAAGCTGGATGACAGCATGCCCAGGAGACTACAGGCTGTCAAATTTTTTCTATTTTTCCTTTCTCTTTGGAGTGTTACAAGCTCTTGATGCATAAAGAAGATTTATAAAGTTGCAAAGACTAAAGTCTCAAATCCAAAGAGATATTCTTTATAAAAGTTAAGAGTCAACCACGCCTACCTAAAACGTCTCTTTCTAACACGCCCCCACATGTCTACGCCACGATGTGGGAAGATTTGCATACCTCCACCCAAATGTTCAGGCAAAGAAAGAAGGCATAACTTTTATTCTTGCTGTAGTATTGTTGTTGCCGGAGTCCAGCCCGGGGTCGCCACATGTGGTTGCCGCAAGCCCGCCTGCCGCTGCTCACTCAAGCTGTCCTCCACTCACTCTAGGCCTCCAGCCTCTGCTCACTCTAGGCCTCCGGCCTCCGCTCACTCTTGCCCGGCGTGTGTGATGCTGTTTCGTTGTGAAAGTGAACTACTTTGTTTGGCCTTCCAAGAGAGGACACGACTAGAAATCAGTGGTTAAGTTGTATTTACAACACTGTTCCAGAAAAGTTCAACCCAAATATTCAGATGTGTGCAGCGCATTTTATGGAGGACCGTTTCCTGATCATGGTAAAGTAGACTACAATGCCGGCTGTTCTGACTCACAGACTGTAAGTAAGTTTTTTATATTTAAAGAATTTGCCACTGACGATTCAAACACGAGTTTTGAGCAGTGTAGAGTAGCGTTTGTAGTTTGTCATTTTTTTGATCACAAATGCAGACATAGTTTTATGTTTACGCGGCGCGATGCAATGCAACGCGTAAAAAGACAGTATAAGTCATTATAATCTGTAATTTTGTCCCCACTGGATGCAACAAATTCCTCGTTTATAATGGGTTTTAATGTTTTTGTCTCGTCGCTCCGGCCGGGAGAAGGCATCACAATATGGTAAGGGCCATAACATTTCCGTCACACGCTTGAGGTATTCGGCCAATCACAATGCACTGGATAGCTGGCCAATCAGAGCACACCTCGCTTTTCAGATCGCTGTTTCAGAAAGGCGGGGCATAGAAGATAAACAATAATGTACAGTATGTGGAAAATAATGTGTTTTTTTAACCTTAAACCGCATAAACACATTGCATTACACCAAATACAAAATAATGTTCTTTTTAGCAACATCATATGACCCCTTTAAGGCTAAATCCATTACATACCATTCTATCAAAGTTATCTAACATTATCAAGATGAATTTGTCCTGACACAGTTTAACTCCGAGTTCTTGTCATATTTTATTAGCATTTTCTAAACTATGCAAATAAACTGTGATAATGTGAGAAATGTTGAAGGTGTCTGAATACATTTTTGTTTGACTATCTATTTGATAAATGAAGTTAACCAACTAACATGATATATACTCTTTTGGTTTCTGTACCCAATATTTAAAAAATTTACAAATGCAATAAAAATGTCGGTATCGGTACTCGGTATCGGCAAGTACCAAAAATAAAAGTATCGGTATCTGGCGAGTACTGGAAAAAGTGGTATCGGTGCATCCCTAATATGCTTGATAGTTTTTTTTGTTTTGTTTAATCGATCATTTGAGACCAAAATCATTTGAGAAACAATTGTGATGCTAGACTAGATTTTGTGATGCAGAACTTGCAGCCGTGATTTTGTTCCAGCATGTGTTATTTACTATATTTAAATTAAATGGTGTAATATATACAAGTCTTATCTCAGCCATCAGTCTGTATGATCACATTGTAAGAGATCAGCATCAGCCGTCAAAAAATCCATGTCAATTGACCACTATGCAAAATAGAAATAGTTGTGTGGACATTTGAAGTTAACTGTCATTCCCTTTACTTACTTTAAATTGGCCAAACATTCGCCTAACATCTCTGTAAAACCCCCAAAACTCATATTTCCTCCCACCGAACTGACTTAATTTTAAACTTTTGCGTTCCAGAGGTCAGAACGCAACAAACCAGATTGATGTCGTCGCTTAGTTGAGGGCTCTGCAGAAGTTCCTCGGTGAGAGCTACATTGCTATTATGTGTGTAAATACGGCGCTCGAACTCTGATCTAAATTTAGTCTTTCCTTCAAGAAGTCTTCACTTAAAATGCAGCCCAAAACAAACAGTCTTATCCTCTCTTCTCTCCAGCTGCTGGACTGAGCCGTGTTCTCATGCGGTCCTTCAGAAGCTTTGATCTCGAGTGGAGAAAGAAGGTTAAGCAGAATAATCATTTACACTTTATATCAGCTCTTTGAGTCGAACTGGGACGGGAGTGACCGAATTGTGACTCATCGGTCTCGAGCGTTTCTCAAGAGTGCTTGCTGCACTTACTGTGGCTGGCTGCTGTCCAAAAGTACCACTTTGCTCACATTAGTCTTAGAGAGGCTTCCGCTGCGTAGCTTTCATCCACCCAGTCCAAGAGAGGAAAGGAGGACAATAGTGAAATGATGCATGTTTTTTGTGTGTGAATAAAAGCCGCTTGCACATTAGAGAAAGCTCTGATAGATAGGGATGTGTAAGATTTGTTTGGAAGGTGTGGATTACATTAACAGCGCAAACTGTTCTCAAAACCAGGAACCAAAACGTGAGGCAAAAAAATAAAAAAGTGAATGTGTGTTTCACTGTGTTATGCTAGCGTTCAAATAACCTGGGGTTGGTAAGATTTATTTTTGTGTTTTTGAAAGAAATGTGTTATGCTCACCAAGGCTGCATTTATTTGATTATTTATTTGATAAAAAATACAGTAAAAACAGTACTATTGTGAAATATTATTACAATTTAAAATAACTGTTTTCTTTTTGAGTATATTTCAAAATTGAACTTTTCCTGTGATGGCAAAGCTGGTTTTTAGCAGCCATTACTCCAGTCTTCAGTGTCACATGATCCTTTAGAAATAATTCTAATATGCTGATTTAGTGCTCAAGAAACATTTCTTATTAATTTTTGTGGAAACCATGATATATTTTTTTCAAGATTCTTTGATGAACAGTAAGTTTAAAAGAACAGCATTTATTTAAAATATAAATATTTTATGACATTATAAATATCTTGACTGTCACATTACATTGCTTACTTTATTATAATTCAATTAATTAAATAAGATTAAAAAAAAAAAATTGTTTACTGACTCCATAGTGTATATTTATGCACTCGTTGACAATTTAGACAACGTTGGTATCACTTATCTGGGATTTAAAAATGATGTTCTTTGTATGTCCACAGAGAATGCAGCTCTGATATCTCCAGATGATGAGGTGCAAAAGAGCGACATATCGTCAAGCAGTCAGGGCATGGTGGAGAAGGAAGCCCTTGGGCCACTTCTCTTGGAGGTATGTTAGACTTTTTAAACTGTTTATCTGTTGAAAAGACTGATATTGAGGTTGTATGATGTCAGAGTGTTGCTGTAGACCAGTATTTTTATTTTGTCCTCATCTGAGCCTGGCCCAGTTCCTATAGTTGGGAATGACAAACCTTTGTGCAACATACATCTTATTTTTGTCTTCCATCTCTGTTCTCTGCCTGTTCCACAAGGCCCTGAATGGCTTCTTTTTCGCCGTGAACCGCGAGGGGCGCATTGTGTTTGTGTCTGAGAACGTCACCAGTTATCTGGGTTATACCCAGGAAGAGCTGATGACCTCCAGCGTCTACAGCATCCTTCATGTGGGTGATCACAACGAGTTTGTGCGCAACCTGCTACCCAAGAGCCTTGGTGAGTCTCTCGGTGAGAAGGGCCACAGTAAAAGCAGAATTATAGCTAAAGATTTAACAGAAAATTTTACACCTAACCAGACATGATGCAACATGACAAAATTACAACCACTCAGAAGATATTTGATGATTAATGTACAGTTTTGACAAGTAGGAATTTGAACCAATGAGATTTCTTTGTGGGCGGGGCTATCAATTGCCATGCTCACCACTGGTTAGAACAAAAACATGTTGTTTGTCGCTTTATTACATTACACTTGTTTACAAATATATATAACACATATATAAAAATTTTAGCTTTTTGTAAAATTTTATATTTTATTTTGCTTTGTTGTTGTTGTTGTTATTATTATTAGCAATATAAATTTTTTCCCATATTTATGTGTATTTGTATTTCATAACCAACTGAGATATGGGAGAAGATATGGAGGTTTAATTGGATTAGACTGTATGTACTGTATGTTTCTTTTGTGTTAGTTGGCAGGTAGGGTTCTGTGTTAATCATTCACTGTAAATATTAGCACAAAGGTTTGAGGTCAAACCCTTTTTTATATCAGAGCTCAGTGACACTCCACTGGGGGTCTTTTATCTCATACTTACCTTGCACATCTGTGTGTGTTTTCAGTAAACGGTGTGCCATGGCCTCAGGAGCAAGGCCGAAGGAACAGCCACATGTTTAACTGCAGGCTGCTGAAAAGACCACCAGACGAGGTGGACGCAGAGAACCAGGAGGCCCGTCAACAGTATGAGCTCATGCAGTGCTACACGGTCTCTCAGCCCAGAGCGGTGCAAGAGGAGGGTGAGGGTGAGACCACACACATACTCATAAAGTCATACCCATATAAATATTTAGCTTAGTGCAGGGAGTCTGATGAAGCTGTCATTGACACGCCAGTGTTCAAATATGAAATCAGTTTTTTGGGGGGGGTTCAAAAGTCTGAGTCCACTAATAAAAATTCTTCTATTTTGCATTTTTCTAATTGAATTATGTTTAATCATGTTCTGTACAGATTTATGAAAATATGCTCGGCATGTGTTGCATATAGCACTTCAAACAATTGTCTCTGTTGTCCACAGACCTGCAGAGCTGTTTAATCTGTATAGCAAGTCGAATGCCTCATCCACCTCAGATCCCTGTCAGTACAGAGTCTTTCATCACTAAGCAGGACCCTACAGGTAGTGTTTCATTATGTACACACACAAGTATCAGCTGCTAGGACCTGTTGATCTGACCACGTTATCATCATGGAAGAGCTCATGCAGGGTTATTGTCGTAGGCTAAAACATTTGAACATATTGAATTAAAAATACCTTTAAAAATAGAACAAATATTGCAAAGCAGAAAAACTGTGGCTGAAATAGCTGTTGCTGAAATAAAATGATGAATGAAAAGAAATAGTATCTGTAGTTATCAAGAGAAACTAGTAAGGTTACTGATAACAAAAATGGACACTGGTGTTCACACAGAACATGTTCTTAATTGCTGTAAATGTAAACATGTTAGACTTTAGTTTGTCTCGCTCTTTTGCAGTACGTCTCTGTTTTTTCAGCATCTTGTTCTTGAGATGATAATGATTTTGATTATAAGCACTTTTTACAACGCATCTCCAGACACCTTCATCTTGTTACATTTCTTTGCACTCTATTTTTTTATTTTTTGAATGTCAAGCAACAGGTACATTGAACTGACACATTGTTTCCCATAATTCCTGTTTAAATACAGACATGGCTTTCTCCCTCAAAGAAAGCTTGCTTAGTTTTGTACACTACTGTTCAAAAGTTTGGATTTGTTTTTAAAGCAATTCACACTTTTATTCAGCCAGGGCATATTCAATGAATCAAAAGTGACTGTAAAAAAACATTTATAATATTACAAAAGATGTATTTTTCAAATAGCTGCTGAAAATTCAGTTTGACATCACAGATAAATAGATTAAATAGAAAACAGTTGTTTTAAATTGTAATAATATTTCACAATATTACTTTTTAATGTATTTTTGATCACTTAATTACAGCCTTGGTGTGCATAAGAAACTTGTTTCAGAAACTGCTTTTCTTATTGACTCCAAACTGGACTGCAAGAACAGAAAACGAAACTATGTTCTTTTTCTCTTTTTGCAGAAGGCAGTGCTAAATGGTTTGTTAAATCTGTGATTTGAAAAGCTTCCTCCTCTTGAACCTGAAGTCCTGTTTACAGAATGTAATGATCTTTCCCGATGTTTGATGTGTGTGTGTGTGTGTGTGTGTGTGTGTGTGTGTGCGCACGCAGGGAAAATCATCTCTATTGAGACGAGTGTTCTGAGGGCCACAGGCCGACCAGGTTGGGAGGACCTGGTCAGGAAGTGCATCTACGCATTCTTCCAGCCTCAGGGCAATGAGCCCTCCCATGCCAAGAAGCTGCTTCATGAGGGTGAGTGCTTTCACCTCCATTCTAGCCATTTTGAGTAGTACTTGACATTTCAAAGCAGTAATGATCTGCCCTTGCCTTTCTTTACCTAGAGAATTTATGATTTATTTGATGATTTACACTCACATTTTGATTCATACCATTGGCCTCATTCACTTGTTCAATGTGTTCTAATATGCCCAATATCTGATCTGATATTTGATAATTGGTCAATCTGTGTATTGTTTCTTCAATTAATCCAGTAGCCAGTTTATATTTACCAGAAAAATCTGTTTTATTATCTGTTTAATTGACCGAACATGTTATTTTCCTCCTGTCAAAGTGCAAGAGGTTATAAAAAGCAATAGATATTTATGAATATAGGATATACATTACAGTTCAAAATACAGTAACATTGTGAAATACTATTTAATCATATTTATAATATTGTAATATAATATTGTTTAATATAATTTAAAATAACTGTTTTCTATTTTAATATATTTTAATAATTTGGCAAAGCTGAATTTTCACCAGCCATTACTCCAGTCTTTAGTGTCACATGATCCTTCAGAAGTCATGATGATTTTCTGATTTGCTGCTCAAAAAACATTTATTCTTGTCAATGTTGAAAACAGCTGTACTGCTGTGTTTTTAGAAATAACATGGGGAAAAAAAGAAGCATTTTGTAACAAATGTTTTCATGTTAATTTTTATCAATTTATTGTATCTTGCTGCATGAAAGTATTCATTTTTGACAGCAAACTTTTGAACGGTAGTGTTAATATGCAGCATAGATGTGGATTTATCCTAAATTTAGAGAATACTGTATGTAGTGCAGGCTTACTGATAAATCATGGTTTTTGAGTGAAAATGTTTGCATGCAATTATAGTTAGAAAATGAGACTCATTGTTGCCAAGTTGATATTTGTAAATGTGGTAACTCTAAAACAAACTAGTTTTTATGCTCTGTGTTTGTGTGTTGACAGTGATGACCCACGGCATGGCCATCAGTCCTCTGTACCATTTCACACTCAGTGACGGGACGTCCCTCAGTGCGCAGACACGCTGCAAATTCTGCTGCCCCCCAAACCCAGACGTACAGCCCTTCATCATGGGCATTCACACTATAGACAGGTAGCTGATGATGTCCTTTGCATTTATATGAGCACAACACTCTACGGACACCCTCTACGCTAGACTGATATACTATATATACATATAAATGTATATGTTTGTAAAATATCTGAAAGTACACTCTTAACATCAGTCAGTCAAGCATTATAATATGATATTATGACAATCAAGTATTATTTAATGATAGAACTTTAGTAATTAGAATTCAAATTTGGTAACCATGTATGAATGCATAGACATTTTAATTGGATTTAGGATTGGTGGTGGTGCTTTTTTGGTCATTCAGTGTTTCTGTAAAAATAAAAAAAGGGAGAAAACTAAAAATAATACTGATAAGATAATAATAATACAAATTCTACTAATAAGAACAGTATAAAACGCACTAAGGATTAACAAGCTGCTGGATTAATGAATATTAATCAGGTTGTGTGCATTCGATCGAACTGATTTACTGAAATCAAAACAGGGATATCAATAGGTGAGCACCAGTCAATGAGATTGCCGTTTGCGCATTATTACCCGGCAGTTCTTAAAAGCTGAAGAATTCCAAAAGAATGCCGTTATTTTGACAGGAAAATACAACAAAGAATATCGTTTACATGTAGCGCATCAATTCTGCATGTATGTAAGACTCTCTCACTCTTTCTGCTCTCACCAAAGCGACGGTGAGTCATGCACCGTTACACTAGAGTTCACGGTACGTCAAACACAGGTTCGCTGCATATCCATTGAGATGAACTGATAAATAGCACAGATCGCTTGATGGAGAGTGAAACTCTGAAGCGCTCAGTCTGAGAGTGTTCGGCGAGTGAAAATATATCTGTGCTAAACTTATACTTAGCCTCCAACTCACACACTGGCGAGTAAAATCTGAGAATTTATTAGCCATTGGCTAATATTAGACATCATTTAGTCGCCCAGAGTGAAGATTTAGTCGCATATGCGAGTGATTTACTCGCAATGTAGAGGGTTGGAGCATATCACACAATAATGACTATTATTGTATATATATAAATGTGTATATATATATATATATATATTTTTTTTTTGGATTGAATGTGTTTTAGGGAACACAACACTGCTAGCTCTCAGGAAAACACTACCCCCAGCCTTCTGTCTCCTGCTGCCCCACCTTCCCGCTCACCTGCCCTGCAGCCCTCCAGTGACCTCAGCCTCCATCTCAACAACAGCAATGGCACCTGTGCCACTCCTGGACCCCCAACACCCACTCCACCAGGCTACCTAACGCCCGGCCGCGTTGGGCCCTCCCAGCAGGTCAGCAGCCCCTCTGCACTTGGCAGCCCTCTCACTGCCACCCCTACCTCATTCATGTCGCCTCGACCTCCACGGGGCAGCCCGGGCCTGGCCAGCAGCCCACGCGTGCCCGGCCATCCTTTTTCCCCCTCGGCGCCCAGCATCCACTCGCCCGCTGGCGGACTGACCAGGCAGCAGTCTGGTGGCGACAGTGTCAGTTTCTCTCTCCCCTCTCCCTTACCCCCCAGACAGACTCCGACCCCCAGCAGCTCCCCAGCACGTCAGCCCCCGGCCAAACCGCCGGAAGCGTCCGCTGATGAGCCTAAAGCTGCTGCTGTGGGCAACCTCAAACTTAACCAGCTCTTGGACGGTGCCCCTGAACATGACTCTCAACCCCGTCCCGCACCCATGGCCCAGTGTCCGGCTTCTCACAGCAGTCTGACTGAGCGGCATAAGATTCTGCACCGCCTGCTCCAGGACAGCAGCCCTGCAGATGCAGGCAAGGAGCACGACATTAAGAACGAGCCTCCGACAAGTCCCAACGCAGCCTTGGTGGCACGGGGACTTGGGAAGGAAACCCAGGACCACCAGCTGCTACGCTTTTTGCTGGATACGGATGAAAAGGACTTGGAGGACTTGCCGCCTCCGGCCGTCCTCAGCCTCCATACTGTCAAGGTAAAGGCAGAGAAGAAAGGGAGCAGAGAGAATGTGCTCTGTGACGCTGCTGCTGCTGCCGCCACCACCGTGTCTGCAGTCGCTTGCTCACCTCAATCCAGTGACAAGCCCAGCCCGGTATTTACATCCTTATTTCATTATTTGTACTTAATGAATGAATCGAAGTACATTATGGAAGCATTTTTTCTATGTGCATGTTACTGTGTTACTTAACGTCCTTTTTACTCCTGAAAATCTGACCACTAATAGGCAGTGGTGGACAGTAACGGAGTAGTTTTAATTTGTTACTGTACTTAAGTACATTTTTCAAGTATCTGTACTTTACTGGAGTAGTTTTATTTTGAGTAACTTTTACTTTTACTTCACTACATTCCAAAGCATAAGATCGTACTTTTTACTTCACTACATTTCATAAAACATATCGTTACTTCTTATAATATATCACATGCTCTGACACGCAGAAGCGGTGTCTGATTCAAGAACGAACTGATTCTTTTCAATTAACCTTTTAAATCGGTTCGCAAATCGCACCAAACGATTCATTCACGAACTGGAATGATCCGATTACAGCTGCTCTTGAGTCGACAACTCACTGATTCAAATGAACCGTTTAGTGCGAGTCTCCGGTGAACTGAATTCACAAGTAAGAATCGGTAGATCTTGTGATGCTGCTAAAAGTAAGTTACTAATTTCGAATTTTAGGATTAATTATTATAACTGAAAATCATATTTAGGTGAAAACTGTCAGTTGTTTGTGAACTAAATCTGATGTAAAGGGTGATCTATTTAAGCCCACTGAAATGCTTGAATGCAGACATATCAACATCAGTGTCTCTGTTTTAGGTAAAAACAAAACAAAAAAAACATTAAAATGACACAGATTAAAATAACTCATGCACGTTAATATTCCCCGCTGCCGTAACGTCCCAGGTATTTTGAGCAGTAGGATTATAAAAAATATGTGCTAATATAAAATTAAATTAAGTAGCCTATATAAAATTGCTAAATAAATCTATCTATCAGTACTTTTTTTACTTAAGTACATAAAAAATCGAGTACTTTTGTACTTTCACTCGAGTAAAATTGAAAAAGGAGTACTTTTACTTTTACTGGAGTAATATTTTATTATATATATCTGTACTTTTACTCAAGTACTTGATTTGTGTACTTCGTCCACCACTGCTAATAGGATGTTTGGCCGATGGAAGAAAAGTCTATTTTGACCATTTACTGCTTCTCACTATTAATCTCTGCAGCAAATTTACTTTTTATTTCTATAACTGGTAATGAGAATGAGGTGAAAAATGCACGTCATCACAATACTTAAAAGTTTTTTATGAAAAAAATACTGAAAAAAGCATAAAGAATTCACTGCATTGTATTGCAACAGTGTACTTATATTGTTGTTTCAGAAGCTCAGGTTTTTACAGCAAGGTCAGTTTTCAGATGTTTTTGTTGAATGTTGGTGCATGATTTAAGTTAATATTGAAAATGTTTGATACAATTTTGCATATTTTAATCAATTATGTGGGCAAATATCTTTTATTTTATTATATTGCTTTATGTGGGCAAATATCAATATTGAATAGTATAATTGCTCACAGTACCCTGAACTTTTTCAACTTTCCAAAACGCTGATGTCTTCACATCCATTGGTAGTCACTGCATTGCGTCAAACTTTTCTCACCTTTGAGGCTGGACATGCCCATATGTCATCATTCATGTCACAGGAAATATCTGTCTTTCATGAAAATAAATTCCAGCTTTAAACCAGCTTTAGCGTGAACTCTAACATGACTATTAATAATATATTTTGTAGGGATGCACCGAAATGAACGTTCTGGACCGAAACGGAAAATTCTTTGTAATACTTATTTATTTTATTAAATAATATAAAGTCATTTTGTAAGACTTTTTAATTTAAATCAACAATTTTACTGATACTGAATTTAAAGAAACTTAGCCAATAAAATAACCACACTTTTATTGAAATTAACGCAATAAAATCTGTCACTAATCACTAATATTTTGTAGGCCTTACTCTTGCTGCGTTTACTCATGAGCTGATTTAAGGGAGTCACGTGTGGACTTTGTCTTTCTTGTGCTCTGGTGTGCCTTTTGATGTTGATGACCTTTGCTATCATTTCCATTCCACCTCTGTGTGTGTTTACATGAGTAGCAGTTTCCCAGTAGCGATCTGGACACTTTGAACCAGCTCTTGCCCACTTTGAGAAGCTCTGTGGGAGGTAAAGCAGTAGAGGAGCCAGTGCTCGTCCAGCCCAGTGAGGACAACCTTTCCATCGGGTTGAATGTGAAGAGAGAGTCACCAGGAACATCAAGCAGAGGCGAGGCCCATTTCACTGGAGTAATAATACAAGTCATAATATTTCATTTATCCTAAGTCCTCAATTACTGCTTTTTCCTCCTCCATCTCTCTGTAGCATTCCCTGATGGATCAAACCTCTCAAATCAGTCCTCTTTTGAGTTCTGCGACCCCTCTACACCAAACCAGGGTCAGGTCCAGGTGCCGGATCTTGGGCAGACAGACCTGTTTCAGTCACCCAAGGAGAGCAGCAGCCCCTTTGCCAATCCAACCAGCCTCAACTCTTTCAACACCAACACAGGTGCAGGATTGAATGCATCACCATGTTTGAAAACAGAAACAGTTTGATTAGTTAACCAAGGGGAGAAGTAAGACGTTTTTTTGTCTCCTTTGATTCAGGTCTGGCCAAGCTGGAGCTTCCTGAGTCTCAGCAGTTCCAGCCCTTGTCCCTGGTTGAACCAATGACCTTCGATAACAATTTGGGCAACCAGACACAGGCCCCTCTGTCCTCTCCTCAAGAGTGAGTGTTTATGAATGTCATACTATAATTCTTGATCATAATCAGGCTACAGAAATGAACAAAAAAAATTTGAGTAATATAACTAATTATTATATTTATCTAACTATTTACATTTACATTTAGTCATTTAGCAGACGCTTTTATCCAAAGCGACTTACCAATGAGGACAATGGAAGCAATCAAAATCAACAAGAGAGCAATGATATGCAAAGTGCTATAACAAGTCCCAGTTAGCTTAACGCAGTACACGTAGCAAGTTTTTTTTATTTATTTATTATTATTATATAATAAATAAAAAGAAAACAGATCGAATAGAAAAAGAATACAGCAAGCTTGTGTTAGAGGCCTTTTTTGCTTTTGTTAATTGTATAATAAATAATAAGAAAACAAATAGATATAATACAAAAAGATTAGAGAAGCTAGTGTTTTTTTTTTTTTTAAAGAAAACATGCAGTTAGTAAATGAATAGAGTGCAAGTCTAAAAGGGGCAAGTTTTTTTTAAAGAATAGAATTAGAATAGAGAGTGCTAGGACTAGAGGGTCAAATAAAGATGGAAGAGATGTGTTTTTAGCCGATTCTTGAAGATGAAATAAACTATTTATTTAGATTTTATTGCAACCTCTTGTTTCTGTCCATTTTTTACATGTATTGTATACCCTAGCTATTTTTTATTGGTGTTGTTAACTACTAAAATAACCTATATCAAATTAGATAAATTATCTAAAAATACCAACATTTCTTTTAAATTTGTGTGGTGGAGTTAGTGCTGTGTATTATGATTGACACCAGAAAATGTAATCATATATATAATTTTTTAAGTAAAAAAAAAAAAAGTTAAAAAGCCTCACTAGTGCTTGTGTGACTTTGTCGAAACTCATAAAAAGTAAATTTTTAACTACATTAAGTAGCAGTGTTATTTTAGCAATATTTTTGTGCTATTGTGGTATTTATTAATATTTTTAATTGGCCTTTATTTCAATATTACAATTTTTCTTTTTAATTTAAGTTTGTCATTTTGTTATGTGCCTATATTGTATTTATTAATTTGTTTTTGTTAAATATTTCCGTTTAGCTTTATCTTTGTTTTAGTTTTACATTTGTGTTTACATGTGTTGAGAACATTCAAGTAAATTACCTCTGATTAATCTATGTTTAATTGTTATTTAAAAACTATTCGCAGGTGCATGTTTTGTCTCATCTCTCAAGAATCGATAGAAATATTTATATTTCCACTCACAATTACTGCTATAAACATATCTCAGTCACAGGGAAGCAGATGTGCACTTTCGCCCAAATTCTACTTACCTGCCAAATCAGTTAACCATGCAATATGACAGAACTGTCACCCACTTTCTCAGAGTTCCTTTCTTCCCATCATGATCTGGGGCCAGTTGCAGAAACTTATCCTCTATATTAAGACAGTGTCTTAAGAACTAGTCTGACCAACAAGCAGTTAGCCAAGGGGTATTCAGTCTTATATTTTGGATTCAAATTAGACTAATCCAAGTTTTTATGTAACTGAATTTGAAATTTTTTGGCAAGCCTTAAAGAAAAAAATTAGATGACTAACTATTAAGACTAGTCTAAACCTTTTATGCAACCAGCCACAGAATCATAGACTGCCTCTGTCATTTTTATTTTTTCCTATGCTCTAAGCAGACAGTGTGTTCCATGTCCGCTGGATGAGATGCTGTGTCCACCCACCACACCTGAGGGCTGTAACGACGAGAAGGCCCTGCTGGAGCAGCTCGTCACTTTCTTGAGCCGCACTGACGAGAGTGAGTTGGCCGAGCTGGACAGAGCGTTGGGCATCGACAAGATTGTTCAAGTTAGTATTATTAGAAAAACATTCTTCTCATACCTTTTACATTTACAAGAAAAGTGTGTCTAAAGGTTGACCGGTTTACTGCCTCACCTACAGTGTGGATGCCTCGAACCTGTCACCCAGACCTTTCCTCAGTCTCAGCCTCCAACACCTGTACCCATGGACCCCAAGCTGCCCAGCTACCCCTCTCAATTCCCCACCTCACCCTCACAGTTTCCTGCTGAGATGGGCACAGCACAGGGCATGAGTTTCGGGGCCCCACGGATGGCGTTTCCAGGCAACGTGGGCATGACGGTGCGGCCCGGCATGAATCGAGCTCCTGGTGTGCCCAACCAGCTGCGGCTACCTCCCAACCAGCTGAGACTCCAGCTCCAGCAACGTTTGCAAGGCCCACAGCAGGTAGAGCTTCAGCTTTCACTTCATTGTGTAATAATAAATGTGAACGCACAACTTCTAAATCCACCTTTTGGATTTTCTTGCACTGTGTAACGGATCCAGTGAATGCTTTTGATTTCACCATTTCAAGTAACATGCTGTGGAACTAACCTATTCTTTTGTCGAGTGCAGCTGCTGAATGAACGTGTGTTTTGTTGCACTTGTTTAGTGGTGATATATCTCATCTCTCCATCAGCTCCAGAACAGACTTGCGGCCATAGGTCAGTTCCCACAAGGGGGGCATGTTGCCATGGGGATGCGTCAGGGCATGCAGCAGCCTCAGATGCCCTCTCAGGTTAGTATCACATGCACCAAGACGAATAATGAATGTCATTTGTAGGGGTGCAAGCATTTGCTCTGACAAAATTTGATTAAGATTGTTTATCTCAGATTTGAATCTTGGTTACAATTCAGTTTGATTTGATTAGTTTTGGTACGGTTCATAATTATTTATTTTGTT